ATTGCAAATTATTGCCATGTCTACACTCTTGAGATTCCCAGATTAGTTTTATATACTATCTGAAGTATCTTGCAAAACAGATCTTACTTAAGAGAGGAAAGCACTTCTTATATTACATTACTAATAATATCTTGAATGTAACATATTTAATTTATGCAAAGATTTATGAAAAGATTAACAATGCATCTTTTGAAAAGACCAAAGAGAGACAACAATCTCACCAAAATGAATCACTGGTTTCCATTTGAAAAACATTAATAACATTTCCACAAAGACACATAAGTACCTACTAATCCTTCCATTGGTTACGGAATATGAGTTAGAACATACCTCTGCCTCCACTGCTAACTGGTATGCAATTTTTAACTCTCCAAGTTGAAGAGCAAGCTCAAAACGATGTTCGGGATCTGTGGATACTGTAAGAGCTTGTTGCTTGAAGCCCTACACATTTTTAAAAAAGAAAATGTGTGATAAACACATACAAAAATATGCATATATAATGTACACACAGCAAATTATTTCTTTCTCAAAGTAAAGACCTTGAAACCCCATAGCCTCGTGTGTGTGTGTGTGTGTACGTACGCATAGTTATTTATATGAATAACATGAAAGTGGAAAGGAGTCTATGAGGTGGGAGGGAGAGAGGGAGGGAGGGAGGGGAGAGAGAGGAACAAGAGGACAATGGGTCAAAGAATATCATATATTCTCATGTGGGACACACACACATACACACACACACACAAATAAGTGTACCTTTCTTTTTTGAGACAGGGTCTCCCTATAGCCTGAACTCACGATATAGGCCAGACTGGCCTCAATCTCACAGAGATCCGGCTGCCTCTGCCTCCCGAGTGCTGGGACTAAAGGTGTTCACCACCACACCTTGCTTTTATTTTGTATCTTAACAAATAATTAAAAAATCTGTTGAAACCTCTCCCTCCAGTCATGTTGCATAGCCACACACAAGTGTGCTGTGCTCCCAGCCCCCTTCTCAAAGAGGAGCACTTTGTTTTATGCACTAATAGATTCCAAGCATCTAAAAGAGTATTTGGCACCTATCAACACACAATGATAAAGAAGGTGTGTAATTATTAATATAGCATTTGCATGCTATAAGAAGTAACTAAGGGGGAGGAGCTGGAGAGATGGCTCAGTGGTTAAGAGCACTGACTGCTCTTGCAGAGGACCTGGGTTTGATTCCCAGCACCCACATGGTGGCTACAAACTGTCCTTACCTCCAGTTCCAGGGGATTCCAATGCTCTCTTCTGACCGCTGCGGCATTACATAACACAGGTTCACTCACATACATGCAGGCAATACACTCATACACATAAAAAAAATGCTAAATAAAATATATTTGGAAAAAAAAAAGAAATCACTAAGCAAACGAACTTGCCCATGTGAGGCAGGTAGGCCACTGGTATGTAGCCATAGGATGCCACTGTGCATCCTGTGGGACCCTGAGTCCCACCACAAAAACAAACAAAAATCAAAAAACAAAAATTTTCTTCTCAATACCTTAGAAGAACATTGAAAAGCTTATTGTACCATCTCGTACATTTTTAGTTTGATATTTAAAAGCTTTTAAAATTTAAAAGTTTGAGATTTCTAAAGCATAGCAAATACTGACATTTTAAAATCTGTTGGATTTTAAACAGTGGACCAAATGGACTCTATACTCCAAGCAGTCTGATACCCGTTATAATTCATGAAAATACCACCACCAATGCAAAACATTCTTAGCAAGTGAGAAGTTTAGATTATTCCCTTTTCTTCTTGTGCTTTTATTTACATTTCTAAAATTTCTACTTCACACAACATTAGACTTAAAAGACTTTAGAGATCACCCTATAAAACTCTAATAATAACTCTTCAATTTAAAAAGATTTCTTGGGGGGCTAGAGATGTGGCTCAGTACTAAAGAACTGACAATATACATGTATTTCACACATTTTGGTAAGTCCTAATTAAATCCAAAATAAAATTTTACTGAATGTATCTCTCAAGCAAAAAAAGGGTAGAGACACATGCTGCAGGTAAACTCAGCTGCTGGAAACCCCGATGAAGCTGGTCCTTAGAGATCATCTGTTCAGGCCTCATGTCGCAGATTGACAGAAAATGGGCAAAGACGGGGAAGGCAAATTAAAACCTTCCAATTTCCTATCACTTGTAGGTCACTTAGCAAATGTTTTGTAGCTTGGAGTCCAGACACTGAAGAGCGCTCACTCCTATGCCTGTTATGCTGGTCTCAGGTCCTTTCAGGTCCAGCCTATTTGTATCAAAGAGCCAAAGGAAGAAAGCCCAGTTTCCTTTCCACATTCATTAAGGTATCAGGACACGAAGCCATCAGGAACGGGCTTTTAAACCAACTACTGTAACTATAAAACTAATTTCTCCTCTAAGACAAAACTTGATGGGCAAGATCTTCAGCTCTGGGAATATGGTGCTACACTGGAGGAAAAGGTCAGGGGAAAAGCTGGACTGCTTTCCGACTTCAATCTCGCTAGATCTTCAGGACGCCTCTATGGAGGTGGAAATGTGCTCCTCTCATCTAGCCCTTAGCACAGTATCAACAGTGGCTATAAATGACCTCCTTTCCTTCAGTAGCACTGATACAGAACGCATACAACCCAAGAGTGAAGCAGATGTTTAGAGCTAGTCCGGTGGGCACAAAGCAGACTCAATGAGGTGTAAATACACATCAAAATGACACTAGGGTGGGGTTTTGTTTGCTTTGGGGAGCATAAACTTCTAAGGACATCCTAAAAAAAGGAAAGGAAATATGGCCAACCACACTGTGAAAGCTTGGAAGGTGACAGAGGAGTAAAAGCACTGGAGAAAAGTGGTCCGAAGTCAGAAGTGAGGACAGCATAGAACAACATGGTTCACACTTCAGACCCTCAAGTCTTCTAAAGAATACTAAAAACAAATCAAAATTGCCTAAACAGAGCACAGATCCATTACAGTCCCTCCTGTCTCGGGACATACAGGTCTGCTTTTTGGTGAGGTCTCCAGTCTAGAGGATACTCCTGGAAGGACTACTGAGTATCAAAGAGAAAACGACACTTAATCCATGCCTTTAAGCCCAGCACTTGGGAGGCAGAGGCAGGCAGATCTCTGTGAGTTAAAGGCCAGCCTCGTCTACATAGGGAGTTCCAGGTCGGCTGGGGCTAGAGGGAGACCCTGTCTCAAAAAAGACCAAAAATTCAAAACAAACAAACAAACAAACAAACAAACACACAGAGCAAGCGAGCAAACAAAAAAACCAAAGAGGAGGTAACTTCTCTCACCTGCTTTTCCAGAAAGTGTGCGACTCTGGTCCTCTGTTCTTTTGGGACAGTAGGAAGGACCTTATCAGCCATGCTGAAGTCCCTCCGCATGACAGCAGTCTGGTACTCCAGGACTGAAACCAGGAGGGAGTAGCTAACAATGTTCAACTCCTTATCCCCCAGATAAAGCCTGTTGTCTTTCGGAATATAGCCCAGAAGATACATCGTCCTATAAGAGAAACAGGAAATTAAAGGCTTAAATCTAGTTATAGAATATCCCTCCTCCTCCTCTCTCCTCTTGCTCAGAATCTTCACATCTGATGGATTCTTGCTTCCCAACAGAAAACCTACTAAAACTCTAACGTAGGAACATCAGCCTGTCACTGTTACAAGTCAACACTATGTCTGTTCACAAAGCATTTTCAAATGTGGGCTGCTTAAGACAAAAGCAGAATGATGCTCAGCTACCTGTCCAAGTGAGCAATGGTGACTATTTCTCCACCAACATAATAGTTTAATCTGTTCACAGAACTTGTGTAGATGAAGCAATCTCCTACCCACAGCCCGGTTTTCACAATTTCCTGAATTTCACCAAGAACCTGTAGAGAGAAAATAAAAACCATGACTACCTTAGCCAACATCAGAAACCTGTGAACAACAAAAAGCTAAAGGGTGGTAATATAACATACAGGGGATGCAAAGGAAAATTCAATTGCAAGAGAAATTTTTTTCCTGGGAATTTTTTCTTCATTTAAAAACTGTTATAATTGGGAGTGGTGGTGCACATCTTTAATCCCAGCATATGGGAGGCAGAGACAGGTGGGTGTCTGCAAGCTCGAAACCGGCCTGGTCCATATAGTAAGTTCCAGGCCAGCTAGGGCTACAGGAGACCCTGTATCAAAAAGACAAAAACATAACAAAACAACCGCCATGATTATTTATATTGTAAAATTTCACTGTTAGGTCAAAATTATGATCTAAAAGAGTATTAATCGAACTAAACTACCCATACATGGGGCTGGAGAGATGGCTCACTGGTTAAGAGCACTGCTGTTCTTGCAGAAGACCAGGTTTGAACCCAGCACCCACATGGTTGTTAACAACTGTCTGTAACTACAGGTCCAGGGAATCTGATGCTCTCTTCTGTCCTCCAGGGGCACTGCATGACACAGGTGCACTTATATACATGCAGGAACGCTCATACACATAAAGTAAAAATAAATAATTTAAACTCCCCATACACACAAAACTGGAATATTACCTATCGCAGTCTAGTAGGCATGT